TAGCTAAAGTCTCAGCTATAGTCAGCATCAACTGCTAGTCATGTGGTGAGTCTAGCTCCCGGCCTTCAGGTCCCCCACCAGACACTGTGGAGTAGATAGGAGCCTTCCTCACTGCACCCTGTCTGAATTGCTTACTCACAGGGACCATGACAAATAATAAAAGATCATTGTGGTTTGAAGCCACAAAGTTTTGGGAGTGATTTGTTATGCAATAGTAGAAACTACGTTATATAAAAACGAAGTGTTTGTGTTTAAAATTTTTCAGCAAATGAGACATATGAAATCTGTTAGCTTCAATCCTGGAGAAACAAAGACATATTGCAATTTTTGGAAGTTATTGTGAAATGGGGTTTTTATGAATCTTGCCAATCTTATCCTTAGGTTTAAGATTTTTTCCTAACCATTTATATATCTGTTGCTTTGTGTGAAGAAAATTTTCAAAAGTAAAATTGATATTTAGATATAAAAAGAAATGAAGTACTGATAGGTATTACAACGTGGATGAACATTGAAAACATTATGCTAAGTGAAATAAGCCAGACACAAAAGGTGACATATTATGTGATTCCATTTATATGAAATGTCCAGAATAGGCAACTCTATAGGGACAGAAAATGGGTTAGTTTCCAGAAGTTTCCGGAAGAGGAGAATGGGCAGTGACTACTATTGGGTATGGGATTTCTTTTTTAGGGGATGAAAATGTCCTGGAATTAGGTATGGTGATGATTGCACAACCTTGTGTATATACTAAAACCCGCTGACTTTTACACTTTCAAAGAGTGAATTTTATGGCATGTGGATTATATCTCAATAAAAAATTATTAAAAAGTTTTCTTTGATCAACTATGAGTGAGATAGATCAACAAATCTGGCTATATGGTCTATACATGAAGATCAGTTTTGACCAAGTCACTGACAAATTTGCAAAGATTAAGTCTTGAAACAGAAATTGTAATGTTATGATTCATTTCTATGACAGATCAATATGTAATATATGTTTTTCCTTTTTATTTGAAATAAAAAGTATATGAATAGAATTATAATTATTAATCCATTGCTTTTTTCCTTGTACTGTAATATATATATATATTTCCTGGTATTATTATATATATGAGCATATGAGGTCAATAAAAGAAAATTTTTACTCTCTGCATTTCTTTTCTGGCATTATTATTGTTTCATATCATGATTAATACTGCAAATAATTTTTATTTTTTGTTGTAGAGGAGAAGGGCTTTAAAATGATATGCTTCAGTTATCAAACATGTAAGGTATATCATTGATATTAGATACTGTTATTGAGAGTCTGAGTCAGAAAAAATTAATGTCTAAACTGGGATGGTAATGAAGGCAATGGAAAGCAAGGATAGATAGATAGGTAGATAGGTACTGTATAATAAAACTGATAGTTCTCCACAGTTATGGGGGCAAGGAAGAGGGAGACGTCAAGTATGAAATATATTTCCAGCCTGATAATAACTGGCAATTCTTGGGGGCTTGGTTTGTAAACATAGGTACCCAATGCCTAGAACTGCCTCTGAACATGGAGCTTCTTCTTCTTTTTTTTTTTCATTTTATTTTTTTTCCCCCCCAAAGCCCCGGTAGATAGTTGTATGTCATAGCTGTACATCCTTCTAGTTGCTGTATGTGGGATGCGGCCTCAGCATGGCCAGAGAAGCGGTGCGTCGGTGCGCGCCCGGGATCGAACCCGGGCTGCCAGCAGCGGAGCGCGCGCACTTAACCACTAAGCCATGGGGCCAGCCCTGGAGCTTCTTCAATACGTATTTTTTGTTTGAATAAATGTATAGTCTTTTAAAGGATGCATCTTATCTGCCTCATATACTCTCCATCCATCTTTTTACTTGAGCTATTACTGTGGCAACCAACTGCTTGCAGGTGTCACCTAACAGAACTCTTTCTCACCTACAGCTCCTATCTTTTGCCTTTTGCCCAGGGGCTTCTTTGCTGCAGCCCTGTGGGACACCTACCATTTTCTGACACTTGTGCAAACCTGGAAAAGTGAGGGAATTAGCACTCAAGGGGCAATTTTTGACCATCTGGGGTGGAAGTGAGTGGACACTCCCCTGTCTGTCTCTTGAATCACATTCTATATGGCTCCACAGAAGGTCCCCAGTGGGACAATGTTCCAGTTGTTCAGAACGGCTACCAGTTCAATACTATACCCTTGGACAGGCTTTCCCTCTTTCCCAGTTTCACCCTTCCCAGTCCCTGTCTTTTGTCCCTTGTGATTGCTTTCCACAATAAACTACCCTCATCTCGTTCTTGTCTCAGGCTCTGCTTTGCGGGAGCCCAGCCTAAGACAGATTCCTATGTAAAATGTGCTGGAGTGGAATTAGCACTGGACAAGGACCCAGGAAGCCTGAGTTCTAGACCTTGCTTTGTCACTAACTTCAAATGAAGAGATGGGCACTTCTATCACCAATTTCAGCTGCACATGTACTGACAGGAAAAGATCTCCAAGCCATTTGTTAACTGAGAGGGGAAAAAAAGCAAGTCAAGAAAAACGCTTGTAGCATGGTCTTATGTGCATAAAAAGAGCAGGTGTGTGTACATACATATATTAGTAAACGTATAACATGGTGGACTATCATCGTTTACTATATATTTTTGTATAGCTTGAATCGTTTACAAGGAGAAGGTATCTTATGTAGTTAAAAGAAAATAACGTCCACCTCCAAGGCCGTTGAATCCTGCTCGTCAAAGTGCACAGCAGAAGGCAAGGAGCTCCACAAACCCGAGGTGAGAGAGCAGAGCTGTGCTCAGGTGTGCGCGCTAGGGGGCAGCGGAGCGAGGACCAAGGCCCGGCGGCCAAGAAACCTGGAACTGCGGGCGGGAGGGTGGCTGGTTCTTTGTGGTCGCCAGGGAGACAGAAGTGTAGGGCAACCCAAACCTACCACTACCCGCTCTTCCCCAGGCAGGACATTGCAGAAGTCAAAAATTTCATCTCTCGGCTGCAGCCCAGACAGATTGGAGGGTTTTCAGAGTCGAGGGGATGTCCCCTCCACTCCCCTCGAGAGAAGCTTGGCACTCTTGAGCAGTCCCAGGCTCCTTCGTACCACATTTGCGCTCAACAACGCTCCCCTCCGCTCCCCGCCCTACCCCCAACACCCGCAGAGGGGAAATTGAGTCACTGGGAGGCGAGGCCCGAGTCGCTAGGGGAATGTGCGCCGACGCCAGCCCTCAGGGCCTTCCAGATGCCAGGAGGAGGGGGAGGGTTCTCCAGGAAAGTATACAAAGGGGGGTCAGAGGGGGAGGCGGCTGGCTGGGCAGGAGCTGAGCCAGACACATGGAGAAACGCTGCCCAGGATCAAAGGAACTATGACATTTGAAAAGAATGTGCGCGTCTGCTGGTGCTGCGGAGCGGTCGGTGGGGCGCGGGGGCGAAGTGAGGGGAAGCAGGGGCTGGGCCCGGGTCTCTACCCCTGCCCTTCTCGCCTCGGCTTCCCACCTCCCTCTGCCCCCGCCTCCGCTTGGGAGGAGGCTGGCCGCGGGGCTCAGGGTGTTCCTCGCTCTCCCTCCCCTTGTGTCTCTCCTTCCTTTATTTCCGAGATGAAGCTGGAAGGGAAATGTAACCTGAGGAGAACAACCAAAGAGGGGAAAAAAAAGAAAGAAAAATCAAACCAGGCCGCCTCCCGCTCGGCCTCGGAACATTCTCTCCCCACCGGCCTGGCCTCTTCTCCCCGCCCCTCCAGCGTCGCGGCCCTGGGCCTGGAGCCGGGGCAGCTCCGCGCGTCACTGGGGTCCCCGGGGGCTGGGGGGCTCCCCAGGGCGGGCCGGAGGGAGGACGGGAGGGAAGGGAGGGGAGCCGCTCGGCTGCCGCGGAACTCCGGCCCGCCGGTCCAGCCCTCCCTCTGCCTCTGCCCCTGCCCCTGCCCCTGCCCCTGCCCCTACCCCGCAGAGCCTGTTTCTCATTAGGGTAACGGGCGCGGTCCCGCCCGGCTCCCGAGTGTTTGTAAACGTCTGACCCGAGGGCCGTCGCTTAACCCTTTGGGTGCCGGGCTGGGGCGCCGCTGGGGGTGCGGCCCCGAGCCGGAGGGATTTAGATTGAAGATCGCTGCGGCCTCTTAGAGAGGTTTGAAGTACACGGTCTACGTGGGGGGAAATGGTAGCACCCCCACCCATACGCGGTCTGAGTCACCAATCTCCGATCTAACTTTCTCTCATACAAGAGGGCCCCTCCCTGCCTGCCCTTCCTAGAAAACCCAGTCCGAGTCTTCATTTCTCCTCCCGCCCAGGTGACAGGTATCCAACCCTGGGGCCCTCCAGGTCGCAGGGCTCCGGGGCCCTAGTAAACCTGGCCAGGATTTTCAGGAGAGCCGGAGCGGGATGCCATCGGATAGGAGATTGTTTCCAGACCGCAGTTCTAGGGAGGAGAGAGCCGACTTCCCGTGGAGGCTAATTAATGGCCCCTCTGGGTGGCTGGGACAAGGGCAGCGGTAAAGCCCGGCCTGGATCATCGCCCATCAGGGGCCGTGGACCTTTGAACTGTTTCCCAAGACGGCTAAATGTTCTTCACCTTAGGTGGGAGGGGGAGAGACGGCTAGTGGAGGGGCTGATTCTGCAGGGAAAAGGCTTCCAGAAGGCCAGGTCAGGACGGCCTCAGGCGAGGGACTTCGAAGGAATGGCTTTTCTCTCTTCAGAGCAGCCTGGAGCCACTCTGCACCCTTGGCCTCAGGGTTGGAGGGAAACGGGAGGAGAGTTGGTCCTTCCTTGCCAGTTGCTGGCTGCCCAACTCTTTAGAACTTCAGAAAGGGTCTTCTGTGGGCTCTCTACACTGTGGGCACAGGATGTGGCCCCTTTAAGGCGCTCGGACCCGGAGCCCCTGAATTTAGACTAAGTTGGGGGTGGTAGTGGTGGCTCTCCCTGCGGGAAATGATTGTCACAACTGCGGGCCAATAGGCATCATTATGGTCGTTCCACACTTGAGGGACCGTTTTCCAATTCAGTTTTGTTCTTTTTTTTTGAGGGGGAGGTACTGGAGAGAGCACAGAGGGAGGGAGGGTGGGGGAGGACGAGGGGCGCGTGGTTTTCCCATCTCATCCCTGGAGGAGGGACTGAAGCATCCCGCGCAGCCAATCAGGGACAGGCTGGGGGGGGCGCTTTGAAGAAGTTTAGGGAAAAAAGTTTGGAAAAGTTTTTATAATAACGAGGGGGCGTCCGGAGGGAGGCGGCAGCGGCGGAGGAGGGGGCATCTCAAGAAGGGGAGGGAGGGAGCCCCGGGTGAACAGCCTCAGCCTCCTGAGCTCCCCCCTCCCACCCAGACCGGGACCTGGGGGCTCTGGCCGGATCCATGGGGGCAGCAAGCTGCGAGGATGAGGAGCTGGAATTTAAGCTGGTGTTCGGGGAGGAAAAGGAGGCCCCCCCGCTGGGCGCGGGGGGATCGGGGGAAGGTTAGTGTTGGGCTGGGAAGGGGTCTTGGGGTCAGTGAGGGAAGGGCCTGGGGATCCCGAGTCTAGGGATTTGAGGGCAGAGGCCTGGGGTGGGGGATGAGAGGGTCAGAGGTTGAGGGAAGTCGCGGGGCTCGAGGGTCTGCAGAGGTGAGGCTGGGGTCGGGCACCACTTTCTCCTTTTTAGGTGGTGACTGGGGTGGGGGTGGGGGTGCCGTTGGCTGCGCGCCGCCTCTCGGCTGGGCCGACTGTCACTGGGATGGGGGGCGGGCGGGAACAAGCGGTCCCGAGAGCCCGGGGCGCCGCCGGGGGAACGGGAGGTCCGGCTCCGGAGCTTGCCCCTTGCGGACCGAGCCCGGGCCCGCAGACCGGACGGCAGGCCGGGGGCGCTTTCGGGCCCCGCCAGGGCGATCCTCGCCTCCCCCTGCCCCTCCCCCGTCTGGCCGCAATGAGAGGCAGATGGCGGGGATTGAGCCGGGGGCGGCGGCCGGCGCTCGCACGGAATCGGCGCTGCCCGCGCCCCCCTCCCCCGCACCGGGCCCGGCACGCAGCAACCCCTCGGCTGCACCGCCCCCACCCCCCCAGATTGGGGGGAGCGAGGGAGGAGCCACCTCCCCTCGTCACCACAGCCCTGGCGCCCCCCTTCCCTTGGCCACCGTTGCGATGGCAACTGGGGCTCATGCCAGCGCCGTTTGGGGGTTTGGGAACCGCTGCTAATTGGGTTCATGTGTGAGTCGCCCCCAGCCCAGCCGAGCGCCTCCCTAAACCCGCCTCCAGGCCCAGCCCCAGCCCCTCTCGACCCGCCTCCCTCACCTTAAGACCCGCCCCGTTGGGTACCCCAGGTTCCAGGGCTGGGGGCTCAGAGTGTGAGGGTTTCCGAGTGGGAAAAGGCCTGGCACGCCTGGATCTATCTCCTCCACCTTCCCAGAGGTCCAACTTGGCTTTTGTCTCTATGGCTCTGAAGGGTTCCTGAGGACTCCTCCTTGCTGAGGAGGGGATAGCAGAGCAGGACTTGGGGCGGCTGGCCACTCAAGGATCTAGACATCTCACTTGCTTCTCTGTCCCCTCATCTCCTGTGGCATCCCTCTCTCTGTCCCCTCCTTCCCATTTTGACAGAACTGGACTCAGAGGACGCCCCGCCATGCTGTCGTCTGGCCCTGGGGGAGCCCCCTCCCTATGGCGCTGCCCCTATTGGCATTCCCCGGCCTCCACCCCCTCGGCCTGGCATGCACTCACCACCACCCCGCCCGGCCCCCTCACCTGGCACTTGGGAGAGCCAGCCAGCCCGGTCAGTGAGGCTGGGGGGACCGGGAGGGTGTTCTGGGGGGGCTGGGGGAGGCCGTGTTCTTGAGTGCCCCAGCATCCGCATCACCTCCATCTCTCCCACGCCCGACCCGCCGGCCACGCTGGAGGACAACGCGGATGCCTGGGGGGACGGCTCCCCCAGGGATTACCCCCCTCCAGAAGGCTTTGGAGGCTACCGAGAGGCAGGGGGCCAGGGCGGGGGCCCCTTCTTCAGCCCAAGCCCTGGCAGCAGCAGCCTGTCCTCGTGGAGCTTCTTCTCAGATGCCTCTGACGAGGCAGCCCTGTATGCGGCCTGCGATGAGGTGGAGTCTGAGCTAAATGAGGCGGCCTCCCGCTTTGGCCTGGGCTCCCCGCTGCCCTCGCCCCGGGCCTCTCCTAGGCCATGGACCCCGGATGATCCCTGGAGCCTGTATGGTCCAAGCCCCGGAGGCCGGGGGCCGGAGGATAGCTGGCTACTCCTCAGCGCTCCTGGGCCCACCCCAGCCTCCCCACGGCCTGCCTCTCCATGCGGCAAACGGCGCTATTCCAGCTCAGGAACCCCATCTTCGGCCTCCCCGGCTCTGTCGCGCCGCGGCAGTCTGGGGGAGGAGGGGCCAGAGCCACCTGCACCACCTCCATTGCCTCTGGCCCGGGACCCTGGCTCCCCTGGCCCCTTTGACTATGTGGGGGCCCCACCTGCGGAGAGCATCCCCCAGAAGACCCGGAGGACTTCCAGCGAGCAGGCAGTGGCCCTGCCTCGCCCTGAGGAGCCTGCCCCGTGCAATGGGAAGCTGCCTTCTGGAACAGAGGAGGCTGCGGCTCCTCCAGGGGGTCCTCGGAAGGAGGTGGCTGGCATGGACTACCTGGCAGTGCCGTCCCCACTGGCTTGGTCAAAGGCCCGGATTGGGGGACACAGCCCCATCTTCAGGTGAGGGTTATGCCTGACACCACCGCTGTCTCTAGCCATACCACTGCAGAAGCAGAAGGGTCAAGGGCTGGGTTTGAAAAAAGGTCTTAGTTCTGTGCCCTTGGCCTTTCAAACGAGAATGTGCAACCAGCTTGGCTGCTGCCATCTACCCAGTTTTAGGGAGAATTAAAAAAGAAGAAAAAAAAAAAATCCCCTATGGACAGATGATTTGCAAAAGGACAATCAGTCCTTGTGGACCAATTAGAGAAAGTGCCCGCCCCCCCTCCCAGGAAGACCACTTAGGTAAAGGAGGAGTTCCTCTAGGGTGTCCCCCACCCCCAGTTCTGGCTAGCACTGCCTGGGCCTGGCCCCGAGGCTGGATTTCAGCCCTCCACTGGGTAGCAGGAAGTCTTCCTTCTTTATCTCTTAATTTCTAGGGCCTGACTTGTGGCCTAGAAGTATAGCTGCTAATTTGCATGAAATAGCATATATTTGCAAGTCAAAGAATTCTTATGAAAACAAGCAGTTCGTGCAGCTCTTCTACCCCTTTCACCCTCAAAGAATCCTGCCCATTTCAATAATCCTAAACCTTGGGATGTCAGAGTGAGCTGGTTCTATCCAGAAAAGTTTCCTGGAGAAAGAGGCCTTAACACCTGTTTCTCTGGGTTCCTGTCGGACAGGTTTCTCACACTCAGCACTCTTGATATTTTGAGCAGGATAATTCTTTGTTGTGTGGGGCTGTGAGGGGCATTGTAGGATGGTTTAGCAGCATCCCTGACCTCCACCCACTAGATGCTTGGAGCATCCCCGCCCCAAGTTGTGACAGCCAAAAACAGTTTCCAGACATTGTCAGATATCACCTTGGGGCAATTACCAGTCGAGGTCCCCTGGCCTAGGGTGTCTGGGAGCTCCATACAGGAAAGTTGCACATCTGTAACCCTCAGCTCCCTGGAACCCACCTGTCCAGCCCCAACTAGTGGAAAGGGCCCTGGCCTGGGAACAGGACATGCTCAGTCCTGGTGTTTGTCAGTAGCTGGCATGCTTGGCCCACTACTTTCTACCCTCCGGGCCTCAGTTTCTTTATTTGAAAAACAAAGGGGTTAATCTCACAGGCCTTTTCTATTCTGAAGTGGTGCTTCTTTACTTGACTCTTCCCTTCTAGGTCTGGGGATGAGGATGGGCTTAGGGTTCCTCTGTATCCAGGTGAATCCTTGCCACTTCAGACCCTGTGCTCGGAGCTGGAGAAGGGAGTCTCAGGCCTGGTGCCATCTTCCACACTCTCAGGGGGCTCTGAGGGGCCTGTCCCCTATCTTCCCTTGCTTCTGGGCTTTTGGATTTCTTCATTTCTGCTGTTATTTCCTTTTTCCCACACCCACCCCTTCCTCCCTCACATTGCAGGGAGCTGGGATCCGTGCTGCCCTGACCAGGGTCTGAGGCTGCAGGTGACAGTTGCTTTTCTCTCCTACCCAGGACCTCCGCCCTACCCCCCCTGGACTGGCCTCTGCCCAGCCAGTATGAGCAGCTGGAGCTGAGGATTGAGGTGCAGCCTAGAGCCCACCACCGGGCCCACTATGAGACAGAGGGGAGCAGAGGAGCTGTCAAAGCTGCCCCTGGTGGTCACCCAGTAGTCAAGGTAGGGGGCAGAGTCCCAGCCTGATAGCCTTTCTCCTCTCCAGTCCCAGATCCTTGCAGAAGGGCTCCAGCTGTGCAGACCCATGGCACTGCCCTTTCCCACACTCCCTCTCAGCCATGACCTAGTAGGCAGCCTGGGGGAGGGGCTGGAGTTGGGGGAGGAAGGGTGCACTTCAAGGACCCGGATATACTTTCTACTCTTCTGTCCCTCCACCCCCCCCACCCCCCTTCATCCCATGGGACACCAGCCTCCTGTCTGCTCTGGAAAATGATGGCCTGCCAGATGTGGGGGAGGGTTAGGCTGAGGCCAAAGTTCACTGGGAGTTAGGTTGTCTCTGTTGAGTTGGGCCAGTCTCTCTTGGAAGATTTTCCCCTTTGCCCAGCCCAGCTTGGGCTTTATTCCAAGAATAACACTGTGAACTCCAGGCCACGTTTTCTCTACAACTGGTGCCCAATTTCCCTTGGGAATCTCTTCCAGGATATCCTTTATCTTGCACCATCCTCATCCTCTGGTGGACTAAAAACCCAGGGATGGATGAAGGATGAGACAGCGGGAATTTCACTGGGTGACTTCTGTCTCCGTCTGCCAGCTCCTAGGCTACAGTGAGAAGCCACTGACCCTACAGATGTTCATTGGAACTGCAGATGAGAGGAACCTGCGGCCTCACGCCTTCTATCAGGTGCACCGTATCACGGGCAAGATGGTGGCCACAGCCAGCTATGAAGCTGTAGTCAGTGGTACCAAGGTGTTGGAGATGACCCTGCTTCCTGAGAACAACATGGCAGCCAAGTAGGTCCCCCCTCCACTTCCCCTTAGTCTTCAGGCTTTAGGACCAGTCTTTTCCATGGGGCCTAAGCTAGGCCCACTTCTTCCTCTTCCCGAAAAGCCTAGACCTCATCCCTAGGAGCCAGTTTCAGGCCTTCTCACCATCTAGAAGAGGACTTTGGGGCTGGGAACATTCTAGAGAGGCCATCTCTGGGTTAAATAGCCACCCTAGGCTCGCAGAGAAGGTCATTCAGGGCTTTGGGTGGAGGGTGGGAGCTTCCCTCTTGGGGAGCATCACTATTCTGGCTTCAGCTAGGAGGGCTTGCCTTCCATTCTTTGCCTTCAGCATCGACTGTGCTGGAATCCTGAAGCTTCGGAATTCCGACATTGAGCTGCGGAAGGGTGAGACGGACATCGGGCGCAAGAACACACGTGTGCGGCTGGTGTTCCGGGTACACGTGCCCCAGGGCAGCGGGAAGGTCGTCTCGGTGCAGACAGCATCGGTGCCCATCGAGTGCTGTGAGCAAAGGGGCCCTGTAACATCTCTCTGTCTCTTGCGACCCTCTTATCTATGTGTCTGTCTGTCCGGCCATCTCCTCTGCACAGTGTCCTGTGCCCTGTCTGTCCTGGGTAGCCCTGTAAAGGACTCAGCCCTTATTTCTATCATGGATGGAGTGAGGGCAGTGTTCTAATTTGCCCCTGCCTCAGACTCTGTCTCTGGGCTGGGCCAGAGCGGCCCTGTCCTCCTTCTGCCCCTGGGTGGTGCTGTGCAACTGTTTGGGTAGCTCTCTGGTCTACCCTGTTCACATCTCTCTCTGCCCAGGAGCGGCTCCTTACATGGTCTGTGTGACCCCAGGGAGACTTTTGGTTTACTTGTGTGTCTGCCACTGAGGAGGGCTCCTGCAGGGCCCTGTGGCAGTTATTCCAAGGAGGAGGGTGCAGAGGAGGCTGTCCTCTCCATGCCTAGCCCAGTGAGGCCTTTCCTGCCCTGCTCTGCAGCCCAGCGCTCAGCCCAGGAGCTGCCCCAGGTGGAGGCCTACAGCCCCAGTGCCTGCTCCGTGAGAGGAGGAGAGGAACTAGTGCTAACGGGCTCCAACTTCCTGCCAGACTCCAAGGTGGTGTTCATCGAGAGGGGCCCTGGTGAGCACCCACTGGGGAGGGGAGGGCAGGCAGGAAGGGCTTGGCACGGGTGGGTGAAAGGTCTCTGGCACTGTCATTAAACTAGCTGGTTGAGCCTCAGTTTCCTTATGTGTACAATGGGACAGATAGACTGCCCTTCCTATTGTACTGTGCTTCCCATGTGTATGACAGCAATCCAAAATGCTCAGGATGGTGAGCAAATGTAAGAAATGCACGGTCTATTTATTAAAGAGGAGCCAGCTTTGAGATAATTTCCCCACATGTGTATAGGGTATATGAGGAGAAGGGAAGAGGTGACTTACACCCTGACAGCCCCGCCCTGAGCCCCTCCTGAGTTATGGGCCTGGTGGCACAGCTATGATTATAAGAGCCGGTGAGGTGCCCCGGGATGGAGCTGCAGGGGTAGAGAGGGAAGACTGAGGGGTCCAGGTGCACCCACCAACTTGAGGCCTTTGCTGTCCCCCAATCCTGCCCACCCCAGCCCCTACACTCAAGTCTAGCACCCACGGACCATATCAGAGCAGATTCCCAGGTCTAGGTCGTGAGACTTGGGGTCTTGCCTTTCTTCAAGCTAAGACCCTTTGCTACCTTTGACCTTCCTCTCAGTGCTATCATGGGAGGGGTTGCTTGGAGTTGGGTGGGAGGGTTCAAGAGTTACTCCTGTCACTAACTCCTTCTGGTCCCTGGGCTGGCCCTGCCATTTCTCTTGGTCTCAGTTTGCTGCTCTCTACCTTGGGGACAATTTTAAACCCTGCCTCTTCCATTTGATTGGGTAAACACCCAGTGGGTTCCTCTGTGAGCCCGGCCTTGTAGGGCCTTCTGAGTCTGGCTTTGGCTCTAACAAGAGGGCAAATGACAGGGCACCGGGCAGGGGGCAGGGGGCAGGGGCCTGGGGCTGGGCTGGAGCTGTCTATTCCTCCTGCACAGATGGAAAGCTGCAATGGGAGGAGGAGGCCACAGTGAACCGGCTGCAGAGCAATGAGGTACCAGTGTCACTAGGGTACCCCCCCTGGGGGTGGGGGTGGGAGACGTCAGGAAATTCTCAGCTGGGTCCTTTGCCCATGGGAGTGGACTCCAGAAGCCACCTGTTCTTTTCCTGAGGAGGCCATCTGGCCACTCTGGAAGCAGGTTCATCTCTAGGGAATGGACTTTGCTCCTTAGCAAATGGAAAAAACCAGGAGGTGGAGTTTGGGTCCTTGGAAGGGCTGGGCTAAGCCTAGATCCCTGAGGGCTCCCTGCCTCATCCTCTGCTCTTCTGCAGGTGACACTGACCCTGACCGTCCCGGAGTACAGCAACAAGCGGGTGTCCCGGCCGGTCCAGGTCTACTTTTATGTCTCCAATGGGCGGAGGAAGCGCAGCCCTACCCAAAGTTTCAAGTTCCTGCCTGGTGCGCTCTGGGATAGCCCGTGGTGGGATATGGGGCTATGGGGAGCTGAGGCAGGGCAGAGGGATGGATAAAAGCTGGGGATGGGAAGGTGGTTGGAGGGTGGCAGCGGGAGGACTGCCAGACCTCTCACTACGTGTCATCCTGCTTCCCAGTGATCTTCAAGGAGGAGCCCCTACAAGACTCATCTCTCCGGGGCTTCCCTTCAGCATCAGGCCCCCCCTTTGGCACTGACATGGACTTCTCACCACCCAGGCCCCCCTACCCCTCCTATCCCCATGAAGACCCTGCTTATGAAACTCCTTACCTGTCAGAAGGCTTCAGCTATGGCACACCCCCTCTATATCCCCAGACGGGCCCCCCACCATCCTACAGACCTGGCCTGCGGATGTTCCCTGAGACTGGGGGTACCACAGGTTGTGCCCGCCCACCTCCAGTCTCCTTCCTTCCCCGGCCCTTCCCTAGTGACCCCTATGGAGGACGGGGCTCCCCTTTTCCCCTGGGGCTGCCATTCTCTACTCCATCACCCTTTCGGCCTCCACTGCCTTCATCCCCACCAAATGAAGCCCCCTTCCCTCCCCAGAGTGGTGTTCATCCCTCACCTGCTGAGGGATACAGTGAGGTAGGGCCAAGCTATGGCCCTGGGGAGGGGGCTCCGGAGCAGGAGAAATCCAGGGGTGGCTACGGCAGCGGCTTCCGAGACAGTGTCCCTATCCAGGGTATCACGCTGGAGGAAGGTGGGTGTGGGACTGGGGGCTGTGAGTGTGAGTGTGTGCAAGAGATTGCTCTGCATGTTTGCTGAGGGCTGGAGCTTGGCTTTCCCGAGATTGAGCATCCTTGGTCCCTCAGGGCCAATTGCAGGGACTCAGGAGGCAAGTGCTTGGTGCGTGTGGCCACCTGAACCAAGTTAACTTAATTCTGAAGGGTGCATGGAGTACCTGCCCCAACCCTTCTCCTGCCTCTGCCCCAGATCACAAAATCTCAGGCTAGAAGTACTTTCAAGATCATTGAGTCTAGCTCCCTCAATTTGCGGACTCAGGCACTGAATTTCAGAGAGGGGTAGTGGCTTGCTGAGGGCCCAGTCAAGCTCGTTTCCCCGTGCCTCAGCTTCCCCCTAAATATGGTGACTGTGGGCAGGATTGGTGATGAGGAGCCTTCACACTTTGCCTCTCCTTCCTCCCACTGGCTACACCCACCTCTGGCCCTGCTGACACCGATTGCCTGGATGTTGCAGGCCGAACCAGCAGGAAAGGGCTGGGATGGGGGACTGGAAGCCCACCACTGGTGGATGGAGTTGAGCAAGATTTGCTTGGGAGCAGGTATCAAGACATGTTGGGGAAACTGAGGCCCAGTGGAAGAGAAGCCAGTGGAGGATACTAGAGGCATCCGAGACTGAGGCCTGCCTGGAATGGATTGGGGGTCTCTGGAAAAGGAGGGGACCCGCCCCTAGCCCAATCTCTCAACTGCCCCTCCTTTACAGTGAGTGAGATCATTGGCCGAGACCTGAGTGGCTTCCCTGCACCTCCTGGAGAAGAGCCTCCTGCCTGAACCATCGCCTGGCAACCCCTGCCCCCCAGCCCTGCCCACTTGCCCTTCCTCCTGGGGTGGTGGTTCCAGAAGCTTGGAGCCAATCTGGTTCCTCTTTCCCCGGCTTTTGCCTCCTCTCCCCTGCTCTCCCTCCCTTCCCCTAGCTGAGGTGTGGCCCCTGGGCCTGGTGCTGCCGTGAGGGCTGGGGGAGGGAGATCGTGGAGGACTGGGATGGGGTGGAGACAGGCGGGGTGCCGGGTCTGACTGGACTGAAGGCTGTGTCTAGATTGTGTACAGGCAATGGTGGCGGGAGACTGGGGACAGGTTGATGGGTAATAAACTGCTCACTGACTAGTGCTCCAGGCTCTAGCACTCTTTGGAGAGAGAGATGGGGCAGCTTACTCCAGCCCTGGCCTGAGGAGGCTTAGAGGTGGGAAAGAGATGGGATGTGGCTGGGGTCATTGCATCCCAAAGAGCTTCTCAGTGCAGCGGGGCTGGGGAGGGTTTGAAGGGGCCCCAGAAGCTCCCTAGCTGGGGTGAGGTTGGAGGCCAGGGCTTGAGTAGGCCTCTGTTCCCTGCGGATTCAGATTCCTTTAGGAGTTTGGGATGGGGCCTAGGAATCTGTGTATTTTCAAGTTCCTTTCCCCTGCCACCGCCCAGATGATTTCGATTCATAGCCAAGGTCAGGAAATACCAGTCTAGTCCCTCTCCCTCATTTACAAAGTAGGAATCTGTGACTCAGAGAGGGAAAGGGGCTTGCCCAAGATCACACAGCTAATCAGTAGCAGGTTGAATGTCACACTCCTGGGCTCCTGCCCCCAGCTCACCCTCAGACACTCTGACTCACGGGACCCAGGCCCCTGAAGCTTAGCTCCCTGGAGAAGGGTTAGAGATGAGGGAGGGCTGGCATGGGTCCATCCACACTCTGGATTCTCCTACCCTTGGGGACTGTGAAGACATTCTGGAAAGATCTGTGCTTCAGAGGTAGACTGTAGGAAGCCAAGCATCCTCCCCAGCAGCTCTGAATGCCTCCTGCCCTGGGGCACAGGGCATGTATGAGCTCCTGGCCTGTCCTGCAGTTGTACCCCCTGTCACGGTGGACAGCCTGGAAACCTGGTTTGTCCCCTGTCTTGACAGCCTATGGGGCCAAGGCCCCAGTGCGTTGGGGAAAGTCAGACCTTGTCTGCCCTGCCCCCTGGGGCCTGAGTACCACTAGCCTGAGCTGGCCAGGCCTGGTTGCAGGGTGCTGTGTCCAAAATATATTCAGGCGGTTAGCCCTGGGGAGACTTGCCTTACCTCAAGGCCGGGGGGGCCTCTATGTGCTGCCAGGTCTGGAAGTGCCCATGTGTTCAGGGGTGGGTGTGACAAAGGCTGGCTGTGGACTGGAGGACAAGAGAAGCAGATGATGCTGGTCCCGTCCAGTCCATTGCTGCTTAGCAATGAATTGCCTTTATCTTTCTGAACGCAAACTGCTGTGAACTAAACTGACATCATGTGATCAGCTTGCTGGGCCTTGGCTGCTGTTCAGAGATACCGTCCAGCAGGAGGCAGTCATCACCCTGTAACCCATGTCAGAAGAGGCCCCGGGGGCAGGAGTCAGATCCAGCATCCAGCTCCCCCTAGATCTCTGACAAAGCGGGGTCAGACTCTGTGAATGGAAAGCTGTAGTGCTTTCGTTTTCTGGCGGTTTTGTTTTCTGCCAGAGCACTGCCATTCGTTCATTGCCAGACTTTTATTGAGCAGCTACTAAGTGCCAGGCAGTGGGCCCTGGAGGGCCTCTTAGCCTCCTGGGGCAACAGTAAGTACCCGGCTCATTATAACTCAACAGTTCAGCTCAGTAAATGTTTCTATGTCAGGTCTTGGGGGCCAGTGAGCAATTTTAATATGGGGTATGGAAGGAGCAGAGAGCAGGGGTGCTCTATCCAGCTGTGAGGTTAGAGGGGGCTCTAAGGGATGCCTTCTAGACTGAGACCTGAGGCATGATGGGATTGAGGAGGCTGAGTAGGGGAAGGGTAGGCCAGGTGGAGCCACCAGACGGGCCAAGTCCTGGAGGCGAGAGGCAAAGAAGGCAGGCGGATGGAGGGCCTGGCATGCTTGGAGGACCATGAGAGGTTCTGTTTGGTGGGGTTTGAGGACAAGTTAAGTTCTGGAAGTGGGGGAGCTATGAAGAGGGACTGGAGAGGGAAGCAGGTGCTGGATTCTGAGGGGCCTCGTAGCCATGCGGGGGAATTGAGACTTATCCAAGGATGATGGGAGCTTTCCCACTATACGGTAGGCCTTAAGCTGGGAGTGACACAATAGATTTGCCATAAAGTTCTTCCTTGAATTGAGCTGACATCTGCTTCCCTGTGACTACTCTGCCAGGGCCTTGTTCTGCCCTCTGGGCTCACACTTTATGGGCCTAACCCCTCTTCCCATTAAAATCCCGATGTGGGTTGGCCTCCCCAGGGTCATTGTCTCTTCCCAGGACCCCTACAGACATCCAGCTCCCTGAGGCTGGCGCTGGGAGAGAGAAGAGGAGGCTGGATCTTCAGCTGGTGCCAGAAAAGACTTTCTTGGCCAGGGTTTCTCAAAGTGTGGTCTGAGGATTACTTGCATTTGAATCATTAGGGTTTATTTTCCTTGTTTTCTGTTTTGGTTTGTAATGTAGATTGCTAGGCAACCCCGACCTACTCAATTATATTCTCTGGGGCCAGGGCCCGGGTATCTGCATTTTGGAGAGTACCCTAGGTGATTCTTCAGCACAGGGAAGTTTGAGAACTAGAATCATTTGTTAATTAGGTGTCCCTCCTTCCTCCTCCAGACTCTAAAGTAGCTCCCTGTCCCTTTCTTCCAGATCTTGTCTGGGTCGCCCTGGGTGGAGGGTCACCTGGAAAAGTGTACTTAGGGGAGGGGAAGGGTACACACCTTCCTGCACTGCAGCTCATCTCTCCCCTCACCTGGCTCAGTCTTGCTCCTTAGATAATCTGAGGATGGTCTCAGGGACAGCCTGGAATTCTCGTGCAGAAGCAGCTGCCCCGGGAACTTATTGAGTCTCCTCCTCTGGCTGGACCTCTGGGGAGGGCACACTGGGTAGCCTTCCCATTGGGTTTTGGGCTCTGCTTGGAGCAGGTTCTGTGGTGCACTGGAACCCACCACCAGACTTTCTAAGTCGTTGTGGAGAAGGCTGCAGAGAGGCAGCATCCTGTGCACTTCCTGGAAATTCCAGATGTGGGAAGTGCATAGGGATTTGGCTGCTCTTTTGGGAGCTGATTTTAGTGGCCTCTGTGTCTGATTACTCACCTAGCCACTCCCCGCAAAGTCCTCCAGGGCCCCTCCTCTGTGCCAAGCCCTGTGCTAGGCTTGAGGAACATGGGCATCACACTGGGGCCTCGCCCTGGAAGAGTGGATGATCAGTTACTGGTAGAGGAGACTTGCCTGCCTGGAGATGGGGTGACATGGTTTGATCTGCCTCTTCTGAGAGACAGAAATGGTATGTTGCTGTGGAAACACTCGGAACCGAGCCCAAGGGGGAGGGTCAAAGAACATTTCACAAAGTGGGGTGATTTTGAGCTAGGTCTTCAAGGAGGAGTGGTAATTTTCTGGGTGAACAAGATGGGCATGAGAGAGGGGGTCATGCCTGGGGGTTCAAGCGTATAAGGTCAAGACCAGATAGGTGGGAAGGAATCAGACTTGGGATGCTAAGGTGTATGGATAACAGGGAGTCATGCACTCATGTGGTCAGGGGGTCTACAGGTGTGGATGTGTGTGTGTGATTTAAGACTTAGAAGCTGTATGGAGAGAGAGTGGTAGGAAGACCAGAAAGAAGGGTTTTGCAGTAGTTCAGGAAAGAGAAATCTGGACTCTACCTACTACTTAGCTCAGCTAAACAGGATGAGCTAAGGTAAGGGGTCAGGGAATAGGCAAGGTCTTGGGCTGGAGTCCTAGCTCAGCCATCAACTGTCTGTATGACCTCTAGCATGTCCCAGACCTAACTGGGCCCCAGCTGCCTCCTCTGTAAATGTTTATTGAGGTCCTACTGTGTGCCAGCCTCTGTGGTAGCTGTTGGGGATAGAAGAACACATGAGACCAAGATGGTTCCTTCCCCCATGGAACTCAAAGTTCAACATGCAATTACGGAACAATGTGTAACTGTGGGGAAGTACTGGGGACTGTGGGACCTTATCGAAAGGCCACTGAACCTGCCATCTCCTGCTGCTTATGTATGTCTCATAGGAATGGTGGACGAATGTGTTTTGAGAGAATCTATTGGATCCATCCCTTTAGGGGGGAACAAGACATTCTCTGAAAGGAATGGAAATTCCTAATGTCGGTTATCCTGGATGAAGAGCATCCAGGTCAGGAAATGTGGATTTGTCTCTCAGGCCTTGGGTAGAGTTGAAGGAGCATCTCTCTATGCTTCTTTCTCTCAGGCCTGAATCCTGAGGGATCTAGTTAACCTTGAGTGTGTCCAAGTGGCCTCTACCGCAGTGAGGCAGGATCCTGGCAGGGCAGGAAGCCAGGGACCAAGGTTGGGCAAGGCGGCAGCTCCATCACTAAGTGGCATTCCATTTTATGCTCCCCTGAGTAATTCTTTTTAGACCTTTTTGAATGTCTTAATTTCCTAGGCCTGCCATAACAAAGCACCACAAACTGAGTGGCTTAAAACAATAGAAACTTGTTCTCTCGTAATTCAGGAGGCCAGAAGTCTAAAATCATGTTGTTGGCAGAGTTGGTTTCTTCTGGAGTCTCTGAGGGAGAATCTGTTCCAGTCCTCTCTCCTAGCTTCTGATGGTTGCTGGCAATCTTTGGTGTTCCTCAGCTTGTAGAAGCATCACTCCAATCGCTGCCTCTGTCATCACATGGAATTCTTCCTGTGTCTCCTCTTTGTCTCTGTGTCCAAATTTCCCTCATAAAGATACCAGTCAAAAGACACTATTTAGGGCCCGTCCTAACTTGATTACATCTGCAAAGACTCTATTTCCAAATAAGGTCACACTCAAAGGTAACGGAGGTTAGGACTTGACCATATCTTTTTTGGGGACCCAATTCAATTTACTACACTGAATTGCTTGCAAAGTTTTGTCAATCATTCTGATCTCAGTTGTGTTATGGAGAGTTAAGTAAAGGTACTCATGTTTGGGCCCAAGTGATGCAGGGGAGAGCAATGTCCTCTGATGCCAGCTTGGTGGACGCGGCCATGATGCACGGGATTCCCAAGGGAAAGGTGACTTTTGAGGCAGAGAAGTGTAGGAATTTTAAGGCCAACTCCCTCACTCCTCAGGTTCTCCCTCTCCTGCTGTTCTTGGACAATCTCAGTGTTATATTACTTGGGATGCTGGGAGCTTGTAGATTTACTTACAACTACATTTCCAAAC